TGGGAATCTGATCTGTGTTTGGACCACTTAATCTCCTTCTGGTGGCTCTCTGTGCTAAGATGTGCTGAGATGCTTCAGGTTGGTGGCACAATACTGTGTGGTTGATCCTAACAAAGCATCCTTCACAGGTTTAGAGGACTTCAGAAACCTATATAATTATTTGACATTGGATACAGGTATGAACAATTTTACACAATAATCTGACACAAATGTGAATAGATTTTCATCAAAAAATGTTTACTTGTCCCCTTAATTGAGGTCATTCCCCAGACGACAGGACTTCCACCATCTGAACTTACATGCAGCTGCCTGCTCCTCAGACAGAGAATTTTCCGTAAAGGGCCATCAGTGAGATACTCGCTACCTGAAGGAAAGGTAGCTGGGTCCTTTTCTCCTAGGGCAGATTTCCAAGTCCTTTAGGAGCGGAAGCTTGGAAGAGGGGAGGTGCTGTCCACCTGTCCACTGAGCTATTGTCTGGTAATTCTGAAAGAACAAAGAGACCACCTTGGTCTCCACCATCAACTGCAGAAATCTTGCTCAGAGTGTTGCCCAGGAAAGATGAGATGAGGAGAAGGAAAAAGGTCATAAGAGAGTCTGGAACCTTCCTAGAGAAAAGAACTTCATATAAAAATGAGAATTGGAAATTGAAAGCCCAATGTGATTTAAAATTGGCTCAGGTTCTGAAGAAGGAGAGGTGTTGAATTTTAGGCAATTCCTTCAACTTAACACTGCTTCAGATTTCTCTACCTGTTCTGATTTTGGAAATTACTAGTGTTGTTTCAGTTTTCTGATAATCACTGTTATGAATTTATGTGCAGATGGTTTGTGGAAGGACACGGTGTCACTCACTTGTAGAAAACACTCAAGAAAGGGACTTCCAGGTCACATGTCATGTGCACATTCAATTTCTTAGGAAACAGGACAGAGCCTTCCAGAGATGGGGTTTTAGTTCACACTCTGGGAGCTGTGTTCATGCTTTAGGTAATGATGAGCTCACTGACATTGATTAGCTTTTTAGCTTTTCATTTTATTTTGAGCCTTTCAAAGTGTGAAGTTGTGTGATGTGAATTGAGGTCCCTGAGACAGGCTGGTGGGGTATGGTGTCTCTTCCTGTGTTGGTTTACATCTTGCATACCATCCTTAATGAAATTTCTGCACAAATAGTTGCCAATTTATATACAGACTTAATAGCTGACTATTTAAAGTTCTCTTTAAATTCTGGTTACTGGTGTGGTGGTTGTTATATGATTTGCAAATATTTCTCCTTTTCTGAATTTTCTGACTTATTTAAGTAATAGTCACAAGCTAAAATATTTTTGGAATTTTTATAAATTCCATTTAGTAGATTTATTTTATTTATAATATGTTTCAGTTTTCCTGATTTTTGGTTGAGTCTTCCTTCCACATTTTCTAAAATCTACATAAAACATTATTTTTTGTTTCTTGTATTGTGATTGAATTAGTCATTGGTCTTTGCAAAATCAGTTGGAAGGTTTGTCCATGTGGGATGATACACATATGTGTGCAGCTAATTGTATGTAAGAGTATGTGTGTGTGTGCCTGTGTGTGAATTTTGAGTTTGTGGGTGTGAGTATGTGTGTTAGAGTGTATGTGTGTGCACATACACGGACTTGTGTGCACTGATTCATTTACATGGGACAGTTTTCCTAAAGATATGGACAATTCTGATTTTATGCTCAAACAAGACCTAAATGAGAAACAGGTTTCTTCTTTCAAAACGTGTATATTTTATGTCCACTATATATCCATGTGATAAGGTTGGTCCCCATTGTGGTATAGGGAAGTGGTGGAACTTTTAGAGGTGGGGCTTATTAGGAGGTTATCAAGTTATTGGGATCACAGATCTGAGGAATTCATTAATATCCAGCTCTTTCTTGTACTCTCCCTTCATCTTCTGTGTAATGAGATGAGTGGTTTGGTTCTCTACAAACTCCCTTCAGAAGTTGCAACCACAGAAAGAACATAAAAAAGTGCAATCAACCATGGACAGAAAACTCTAAAAGTTAGTGGACCAAATAAAACCTCCCAAGTTACTGGCATTTTCCTAATAAGTGAATATGACAAACACAGTAAATTTTGTATTACTCACTTACTTCCAAAATGTTAATCAGATTTCTTGAGATGTGTTTCTGACAGGAAGAATACATGTTTCTCTATCCAGTGTCCATTTTCCAACACAACTGAGCTGCTAGGTCATTCCTGGAGTGAACAGAACACATTTAAAATCAGAGAACATTTGCTTCAGCACTGCATGTGTCACACCCCAGTGATGGAGACTAATGCAGGCAATTTTCCAATTCACAATTCCTGTTTTCCTTCCACCTGTAAATAATGGCTTTCTTCTGCATTACAAGAAAGAAAGCATCTGCATTTCTGTAAATCCTCATGCATTCTTATGCCATCATGCTTGTCCTACTCCATTTCCAAAAGTTTTGTCAAGGTAAACATTGTGACTTGTATTCTGCTGCTGTGGCCATGTGAGCAAGTGTAGTGGGTTGCAACATATCAATGAATCATTTGGCACCTGCAGCTTGCAGCTTTAAAAGAGAACACAGAAGCTCAGTTCATAACAACTCTCAAGGTACCTGTGAGGAATAATTACACAATCAATAAGAAGATAAAGCTGTGAGGCCCTGGGGTGGAGAGGAAACCTCATATGCTGACATGACAGTACACATGCCCTACACACATCCTGATGAACAGAGAAGACATCAGAGTTGTGGCCCAGCCTCAGTTCATGTGCAGGTGACACCTGAGGCTATATCACTGTCTTCTCTGAGCACAGTAATAGGTGCCCGTTTCTTTCTTGCCCATGTTGGTCATTGTGAAGGTCCCTGGTGGTGTGAGTATCAGGTTCATACCAGACTAGCTTTACCCGAGGCTGCCAAGGAGTTGCTGGCCTTATATCAACCTCAGGAACCATAATATGGTGCAATACCACATCACATGGTTGTAGGACAGGGGCAACAAGGTCCTGAAGTTTGTTCTGGGGCTTAGGGCCAGTCTAATTCAACTTAGCGCTGGGAAGATCCCTCATGTTCTCATTTCCACGCTGGCTTAGGTACGAAATTCTGGACTAGACCCCATGACAGGAAAAGACACATGGACCCAATCACTCAGAACTCTATTTAGCTGGCTTCAAGTGTGGATGGTTGCAGAGCTGTTTGACCACGACTGTAGCTCAGCAATATGCAGCCCAAAACAGTGCAGGCCTTCATCCCTCTGCAGTGACCTGTTGATATATAGGACAATGCCTCACTTGTGGGTCACCTGAGCATTGCTAATAGCCATACGTCTGGCAAATAGGCTTGGGGTTGCCATTTCCATGGAGATTCTGCCAAGAGCTGGGCAGGTTCCTGCTTTGCCATAGGTCATTTAGTGTGAATGAGACATCTCCCTACCCTGGCCCAGCGGCAGGCTTGTGGGGTTGAACAACTATTTCTAGATATTCCCCTGTTCATTCTGAACTCATCTTTGTTTTGGTCAATCTGGTCTTCAATCGCCCTCTAGTGATAAATAGTAGCAATGCACTAACAAAAGATTCTGAACCAAACTAGACCTGGCAATACTTAGGACTGAGAGTGTGGAAGTGATTGGAAAACATGGGACTGAGAAAATAAGAAGCCAGCTCAGGATTTATGCAAACAGAGACAAAAACAAAAGTAATACAGGAAGACTAGAATGCATATTTGCTCCTTCAGTATTTAGATTCTGTCACATGCCAACATGTATGTAAAGGTGTCAGGAAACAATGAACATACCTAATGCAAAACAAGACCAAGAAACTGAAGAGATAAGATGGCCAAATCATCATTCAGCAAACTTAAGCAGTGTTTTAGGAAACTGAAGGAATTCCAAAAAACCAAAGATAAGTGACTGAGTAATGGAGGCATATAAGACAGATGGGCACAATTTTGTAAAATCAAGCATAAACTTGAGATGAGAAAAACACTTAGTGGCATAAAACACGATGGAAGACGTCAGCAACAGCACAGATAAACTAGAAGAAATTATTAGGTTGAAGATTTAATATTTGAAAATCCACATGGATAAGAAAAAAAAGTAAAGGGAATGAAGAAGAATGATGAAAGCTTATAGGAGTTTTAGAACATTAATTTAAAAATACATATTCTGGTCATATAATGCCAGACAACAGGGAAAATATTGCCCCATAGAGGGGCAATATTATTCAAAGAACTTACAATGAAAAGCATCCACAAATACAATGTAGAAGCAAACAAATTTCCATATGTAGGAAGACTAATACCTACAATTAAGATTTAACTTAACCCCATCTAATCACAGACACATTTGCTTTCTTTTTGATACTGAGATCTGAACTTTGGGCTTCATGCTTGCTAAATGAGTGCTGTACTGCTTAAGCCACACTTTGATCCAAGACCCCTTGCAGTTAAATTTTCAAAGGCCAAAGAAAAAGAGAAGTTTCTCAAGGCTTTAAGATGAAACAAAAATTAAAACTTGTGTTTCCAAATTCACTTTAAAGGAGATTTATCAGCAGAAACTGCACAACAGGCCAGGAGAGAATGTTTTGAAATTTTCTCGCAGTTCTGAGTAAAAAAGGCCCACAAAGTAAGAATACTCTACTTAGCAAAAGCATATTCCCTGGAAAACAAAAAAAGCTTAGAGCAAAAATTGGTGTATTTCCTCCAGAATCATTATATAATAAATGCTTCTCCATAGTTGATCTGCATGGTGGCCTCAAGAGAGAAGCTGGCTCTTCTTCAAGAGAGAAGGGGACACAGACTCAGCAAAAGATATTCATGCATCAGAAAGCATCTGTTCCAGGGATTGGCCTGGTCCTCAGTGTGTCCTGATGGTCCGACTCAGCAAAAGGTATTCATGCATCAGAAAGCATCTGTTCCAGGGATTGGCTTGGTCCTCATTGTGTCCTGATGGTCCCTGCAGGGATGTTTTTGTCAGGCTAAACACTGAAGTTCCTTCCCTGTGTGTCTTGCACACTAATACATGGCTGTGTCCTTTGCAGTCAGGGAGCTCAGCTGCAGGGTGAACTGGTTCTTGGATGTATCTCTAGAGATGGAGATGCAGCACTTGAGGAATGGGCTGTAACCAGTGTAACTATAACATATGGTACCCATCCAGTCTAGGCCCTTCCCTGGGAGCTGACAGATCCAGGCCCAGCAGTAAGGACTGGTTGTGATGGAGAATCCAGACACAGCACAGGTGAGAGACAGGGTCTGTGAGGGCTTAACCAGGCCAGGTCCTGACTCCTGCAGTTGCACCTGGGACAGGACACCTAGAGACAAGGAGAGACATCCATGTTAGTCACCTGCCATCAACCACCCATGGAGACATGTGTGACATTGGGGACACTCACTGTTGGGAGATGTCACCAGGCACAGGAGAAGACACAACAATCTCATTTTCTAGACCACAACCTTGGCTTCCCCAGTGACCTCAGCCCTGTTGAGGAGAGAGCTGTGCATTCCCCCAGACGAATAGGGTAATTTAACCTGAACTTGAACAATAATTAGCATGTGGTGAGTCTTGTTCTTAAAAGATGCACAAGGACTGGAGTCACAATTCTTTGGATATCTTGTGGTTTTATGCAACATAATGTGTCTTGAACTCTTATCAGTGTTTACATGTGTAATAAGAGAACACTTGTCTTATAAGTATTGCTGGAAACAGGTCAGAGTGTCCTCACCATCCTTTCCCCAGCTCTACCTTCTGCCACTCCAGTCTGCTCTCTGGATCCAGTCCATCTTTCTTACCCATCGGGCTCCAGGTTTTGCTTCTCAAGTTCTCATTCTAGCACAATTCCCATGTCCTTTCTACTTTACCTCTACTGAGATTTGGTTCCCAAGACTCCTGGGATTTTGTCACATTTTCACATTACTATTGTTAAAAAACTTTTTGACATTCTATTGCTCTAAGACATCATCTTATCCAAGACACAGCATCATCAGAATCATTAAGGACTGGATAAAATGCTTCTGTCCTGTATTTATTTACAATATGATTTTGTTCCATTGGAGTGGAGAAATAGGGAAGCCACTTAAACTGCCTCATTCCCCTGATGAAAATTGTGCATGTAATAAGGACCATTATCATTCCATGTTCTGCCTCCCATGTTCTCTGTAGATTATCCATGAAGTTAAACACCCCAAATTATAGTGGTACACTATTTTTGGAAAATCATTCATTGTAAGTAGCCTGAATACAAGGATGATATCCTAACTCAAATTCGACAGACATTTGCCAATCAGTTTTTGGCACCATTCTCAACCTTTGAAATAAACTTAGAAACTTTTCCACATGCTTGTGGCCTGAAACTACTCTAGTTTTCAGGCAGCAACTCTCTATGATCTGGTTTACTATCATGAGGATTGGTAGAGAGCTGTTAGAAGACTTTTCATCCACAGGATATTGAAGAGCCTATCCTTCAATGTTTTACCAACAAGACAGAGAGAAATAATTGTAAACAAAAGTTTTGAGGACAGGTCCTCAAAATACAGGCGCTTTTGAACCAAAGCAAAGAAGTCACATCTTGTCTTGTTTCTGTACATCTTAATAGGGACCAAGGATCATCCTTTTCAGAATAACCTGTGGACACTTTCAATATCACAATCTTATTCCTGCCCAGGGGACCATGGACATAACAGAAGAAGAGTAGTGGGGGTTGTGCCTAGCTATCTATAATTCCTAATGTTGCATTTTGTGTCCTCAGGGGAGATCTCTTAGAACTCTTGTCAGTAGAAAAGGAGCCCCTCCTCCTGTCCTGAGAACAAAGAGGCCTGGCATCCATCCCTGTCCTCAGAGCCATTTGACAATGGCTGTGTGACCAGATTGTGAAATCCCAGGTCTGCGTCTCAGGGTGAAACTCTGAGTTTTTAGCACTTCCATATTTCCTCTGTGGGACAGGGAGGGCTGCCCTCTGTGATTTCCAGAAGTGTCACTCATTTCTGTTATCTGCACAGCCACTCAGGTGCTGCCCTTTTGTCACTTACAGTGTCTACTTGGAGCAAGAATTAGTAAATCTCTCATATTACTCTGTATTTTCAATCCTTCTTACTGGAATATGTGAAAGTCATGTTGACTGAAGGCAAAGGCTTTGTAGAAAAAGGTCCAGTTCTGGGGAGCAGCATGGAGAACATCCATGACTTAGTCTGGGATGGAAACATCTTCCACCAATGGGAGCCAATAGGCAGTTAGCCTTGTACTAACAGCTGGGCTCCTCCTACAGGTAGGACAAGATATTGGGCTTTTTTTCTCTCATGAACCCCCAAATACCTCCCCTGCTTGTGAAGTCATGTGTGAATAAAAAGGAAGACCAAAATTGATATTCCATAATCAGCAGAGGCAACCATTGCTCATTCCCTGCCCTACCTTACAACCTGTACCAATTCATTTGTATTGTGCAGTATTCCTGTGGATTACCATGGGATTGAGTAAGCATCTCCAGAATGTTTAGTGCATTCCCTACCTCGTCTACTCTCTCAAGACTTGTTTAATATTTGGTATTTGTGAAAAAAATCTTGCTATCTTTGTTTATAATAAAGTAGAACTTGCTATTTTTCTGTGCTTGCCTGTGTAGAAGACGGGTGGCTACACTACCATGCCTAGCACTTGCATCATTTATTTTGTTTTATTTTATTTGTTTGCTTACATTGTCGTATTGGTTATTAATGCTATGGCCTCAGGTTCCCTATCACTCTGCCACTTTAGCTATTCCTCCAGTCTTCTTGTACCACTTAAAACATTTTTTTATTTTAGTAATGGGATATTTGCATTTAAGGGAATGTCAAAAACTATGGTTAATAAATTATTTAAACTATGGGTTAATCCAGCCAATAAATCAGAGTTGTGTTGGTTTCTTTGTTTTGTCAGACCTGTTCAGAGAGGATCACACATTGGTCACTTCAGACAGAAATTAACACATATTTGTACTAAATAGTAGTAATCAATCTGTTTGCCATTTTTCTTGCATAATAAATGTGGTTATTTATTTTGTTATATTCTGTTCAGTGTAAAATAATGAGTGGTACAATTTAGAGAATTTGAGTAATGTTTATCAAGCCCTGACAACTCGGCCATTCTTGTAAACACCTGTCAACCATCATTGCTTGGTTATTGCTCTAATTGACCTGCGACTTACACTAGGTTTTTATTTTTAATTTTATTTTCTTAATTGAATATTAAAATTATGCATTTGCCTGTACAACACAAAGTTGTTCTGTTGGTGAATGTTAATTTATTTAAATGCAATTCTAATGATTCCTTCATAGTTAAATCAAGAAACATCTTTAAAATCATTGATTTTTCAAATATGTACACCTGTTGGAGTGTCAAATTGAGGTAATGATCAAAGGCATTTTCTGACATAATAACTCCATGTGATCATTAGGATAAGAACACAAACAAAATAGTTTAAAAAAAACAAGAAATATATGCTTTTAAGAAAACTTTCCAGTAGTCCTCTGTTCATTCACACAGTATAAAATTTGGATTCCAAATCCAAATCCTTCCTGGTAAGGATTAACCTTTCCTATGGATCCTCACAGTCACTAACACCTTCTTCTCTCAGTTTGTAACATTTCATATTTAGTAGACTTTGGGAGATATATTTTCTTAGCTCTGGTTCTTGGAAAATCCTTTTACCTTCAATTTTAAGGATAGAATTGCTAGATACAAAATTCTCAATTTTTCAGGTTTTCCTTCATTACTGTGAATTTACCATTGCCCTCTTCCTTGCCTTGTAAATTTTCAGCTGAGAAGTCACCTGTCAGGGAAATTGGAGAATCATGATTTTCATTAGTTTCTATACTCTTGCTGTCTTGGAAAACTCTCTTATTTCACTTGTTAGACCATGATTACATGAAGTGCTGGGTTAGAGTTTATTGAGTTGTGTTCTCCTTGTGACTATAGACCTTTCTATTCCTGATACTCATATCCATCTCAGTTCTGTTATTATTTTCTCTCAGTATTCCATTGAATTAGTTTTCTTTCTCAGAACAATTTCAAGTACGTTTTGTATCTCAATACCCCAAAAGTTGCTCTTTTTCAGACTGTCCCAATGTTTCTGTGAGTTTTCTTTCTTCCCATTCACCTTTGCCTGCCCCAGTATGTATGTGTCAATAGCCAGTCTTTAAGCTCAATAATTCCTTTTTCTTTTTAACTTTTCCTGACTCAGAAGCCTTGTTTTGCAGTTTTAAATTCACTGAGTGTGTTTTATCTCTGAGAATTCTTTTTTGGTTGTTCATTGCTTCCATCTGTTTGTTAAAATTCTCTTTTGACATATTGAAGTGCATATCTGCCTTTTCATCATGTTTGTAGAGCGTCTTTTAACCCATGGTTTAAGATTTTCTTCCTGGGATTTTTCCCCTATTGGTTTCAGCTTGGTCAATGTCTGAAACTGACATATCAGGAGTCAGGCGGGTCTAGGTAGCCAAAGAAGTGGAGCAAGCCCAGGCTTCTGTGTCACACATTTGGCCACCAAAATGTCATGATCTCTCATACCCTCCCAAAAAGACCAGGACAATAGTGGGTTAGGACAAAAGTGCACATTCTGTGGGAGCCTATTGCTGAGTTGGTCTTGTGACCCAAGATCATTTCTCCCAGCCTGCAGTGATACTAGGAATAATATACATCACATTGCCTGGGTCATATGTTTTTCTTTAGCAATTGGAGCTATTTCAGAGGCTCCACCACAAGCAGACTTTCAGACTGGGGCCATTAAAATCATCCTCATGTTAGCTCTCTTCAGTCCAGCACCACATTCCAGAGATAAAGCATGTAATTATAACCCAGTCTTAATCCACAGTAGGATCACATTACATGGGATGCTGCCATAGGCTAGGGAGATGTTGGTGAATGCACCATCACTGAGACACAGGAAAATTGGCTGTGTCTCATGTAGTTTCTTGTATACATGTTGGGTTTTGTATATTGTTTGAGGTCAAGGATGGTCAAGGGCTACTTGTCCAATCTGTGCTACGACACTTTAGAGATTCCCCTTCTTTGTGAACTTTGCTGCTTGGTAAAGGATGTTTGAATCCTGTGGGATGGATAGGATCTTCCTTCTCCACAGGCTCAACAGCATCCAAGCCTAGCAGTGTTGCTCATATGGTTTGGATATGGGAAGAGCAAACACATCCCTGAGTTCTGTAGTAGTTGTAATGAATGTGTTCTGGTCTATATCGCCCCTGCTGGTACTAAACCATACTGCTGGTCAACAGCAATCCTGATGTCCAGAGGATCCACTCTGGATAAGCAGTGCCCCCTGTTGGTCTTGACTACCTATGCTGGACCTGAGTGTTCCCTGCTGCTCCTGAGCACCCCATGCATGTCCTAAACCATGCTGCAGGTCTTGGGTTCTCCCTGATGGTCTTGAGTCCCTCCTAATCTTCCTGAGTATCCACTG